TACAAAATCTGAAGTAGAAAACTTAGTGATGCTTTGAAGCAGAGGAACAGGTGTAAAGTGACATCCAGCCTGAGCTCATCCAGTGTTAAACGGCTGATTTTTCCCAAAAGTTCCTGCCTGAGCCCCTGTTCCACGTGCTCTGCCCATCTCCAAGGTTAAATTTGCATAAAATGAGCTGGAAAATGTTCCTTTTTGAATAATTCATAGTTTTATTAAATAACTCATTTTAATAAGAAGTTCTTGCCATTTCACCCCCCCTCCCCCTTTTTTTTAGTACTCTAATGATCTTGCATTTCTGAGCATCCCCTCTCACAAACTTATTGCTCACATTAGGAAAATTTCCCCAGCCTTGACATCTCCACTGCCAGTTTGCCTGTTTCTCCTTCCTGTAGCTCAGGACTTCAATTCCCCTGTTTCTTTCTCTGTCACAAGTTCTATTTCCAATGCTTTTTTGGGATATGCATGTTTTGGGGCAGGAGCTGAGACATTTAGGCAGCGGTTAGCAATGACCAACCTCATACCTGCATGCCTGGCTACTTTAGGAGGGCAGTTTTGGGACCCCACACATGGGCACTGAAAGGCTCAAACCACATTTCACCCCTGGGAGGCACAGAAGCTGCTGGAGCTGATGAGTTCTGGATTCAAAGAGCACCTGGCAGCACTCAGGTTCACCTTGCCTCAACCCTTAGTTTATAATCATTACACCAGCCTCAGCAAGAGACACAGCACACACAGCAAAGAGCTGTTCCCTCTGCTGCTAGGTGAAAATCTGTCCTATTGATCATTACTGAGTATCACAAAACTCACTTTTGCAGTAGCCTGGACCAGACTGATAGACAGGAGCAATAACCCCTGTGTTATTCAAGATTTCTACCTGTCTGACCCTTCTCTTCCACTTTCCTTTACCCACTGTCACTCCCATGCTTGTCACTGTCACATTTTCTGGAAAAATTCCTTCACCAGCATTTCCTTCCTGGGAAGCTGAGAAGCCTCAGAGAGAAATGAAAACAAAAATTATCTGATTGCTTCTCCTGTGTTTGCTGCTTTGGAACGTGACCTGGAGGCTGTTTACCACCTGGTCATTGATTGGTTTCGTGGGAATTGTTTTAACTTAATGAATTGTTTACCAACTGGTCATTGTTTGATTGGTTTAATGAGAATTGTTTTAACATACTGACCAATCATGTCCAGCTGTGTCAAGGCTCCAGAAGAAGTCACGAGTTTGTCATTATCATTCTTGTTAAGCCTCCTGTCTGTATCCTTTCTCTTTTAGTAGAGTTTTAGTATAGCATTCTAATAATGCGATGCGATGCAATACGATACAATATAATATAACATAATATAATATAATATTACATAAAATAATGAATTAGCCTTCTAAGAACATGGAGTCAGACTCACTCATCTCTGTCACCCCACCCTGTCCCCATGCTCACCCGCAGTGCCATCGCTCTCCAGCCCCACAGCCCAGCCCGGGCACGCACAGAGGGGTTTTTATGGATGCTGCTGGCCAGGATCCCACGTGTGCGGGGATTGGCATCCCCAGGGGGCTGAGCTGTGCTGTCAGAGCCGGGGCACAGCCGGGATGGGGAGTGGGAATCCTGCTGAGCCCAGCAGGGCAGCCCGGTCAGGAGTGCGGGTTAATCCGGCCCCGCTGGTGCTGGATCAGGAGCAGTGTGATGGGACAGGATGGAGCCCTGTGCTCCAGAGGGGTCTTGTTCCAAGGAAGGACAGAACTCAGCACTTCCCTCCAGGTGTCCAGAGTGTCGAGGACCCTGTCGGGGGGCTCAGAGACCTTGGCATGCTGCCCAGAACACCTGGGGATTTGATTTTGACACTTGGAGCAAGTTGCCAACTGTGTATGAGGACCTGAAAGTCACACAGGTTTGAATGGTGTAATAACAAAATGATCACAGGGTGGAAATGTAGATTTTAGGATTTTTGGTATGGAGGTTATGGGGACAAGATGGAGGAATATAGGCATGTCCAACCTTTCTTCTTCTTCTTCTTGTTCTCCATTTTCTGCAGTGATGTTGGCACTTTGGGATTGGTTTAGAGTAGAAGGGCACTGTCTAACATAGGTAATAGGTATTGGGAATTAAGAGTAAATATGATATACATAGTTTGTAGTATAAAAAGGCAATACCACCACAGGGCCGTCAGAATGCTTGTGGCTGACCTGCTGAGCAGATCTCCGCTGGGCAGAAAGAAAATTTTATAGATAAGAATTAATAAACAACCTCAAGACCGAAAAGTGAAGAGTCCAGACTCGTTCTTCAGTTGCACGGGCTGAAGCAGAGATATCCTGCACATCTCGGGGCAGCAATTAACAACAGCAACCCAAGAGGGTCTGATGTGTGTGAGGCATGAGGGAAGGATGGGGACTCCCAAAGCTGAGGGAGATACCAGCAGTCACATCCACCTCAAGGTCCCAAGAGAAGGGAGGTGGCAGAGGAGGAATGGTGCATCCGACAGGGTTCAGCTACACCCTGACCATCAGAGATTGCTTTTTCTCCCTGTTTCCTTTATTCTCTCTTTGTGAGTCACAGCCTGACCTGAAATGAGCTGATGCCAGTGCTCTCCCAGCCACGTTTCCCCCTCGTGGTGCCCCGGGATGCTGCTGTGCTTAGCTCAGCACGCCCCGGCTCTGCATTTCCCTTCCCTGCTGGGGACAATGCAGGGATTTGGGAGCAGGGTGAGCGAGCCTTTGTCAAATATTTCCTGACATGGAAATGCACCAAGACATGAGCAATGCTGAAATGAATTTCAGTGATGAGGTGTTTTCATAAGCTAGGGAAGGGAGGGATGATTGTGCATGCCCCCCCTTCCCATAGTGTAAATGTCTTAAAACTATGAAGCACTGTCCCCATCTCTGCATGCATGGGAGGATGGGATGGTCCTTGGCTGGTCCTACAGGAATCCATGGCTTTTGTGGAATAAGCCCCCCTTAATATATAGGCCACAGTGTAGGATATCATTTAATTTTTCTTTTTCCAGCAGATAAGCAGAATGATAACTACTATTCCAGACTCTGCCCTTGTCAGACAACTAAAAATGCAATTCAACAGACATAAAAGCCAACAGCCTCTCTTGGGACTGAAAATGCCAAGTCCCAGGGCACGATTTGCCCATTTGGACTCTCACAAAGCCAAACCTTGTGAAGCTGAGCTCTGCCCTGCTGTCTGCAGGCTCTGCTGTGCTGGGAGCAGAGCTCTGTGCTACAGATGGCAGCATTGGGACGTGCAAGGCAGCCTTGAGCTGCAGCAGAGGTGCCCAGGCGGTGCTGGAAGGACAGGGACAGGGACAGGACATCCCACTGTCCCTTCTTGAGTGGCTGAAGGTTGATGGACATTGGTGTCTCCAATCTGCCGAGCTGCATCTTTCCCCTTCTTATGGCCTGAACCCAATGTTGTGTTTTCAGCCCCCAAATCATCACTCCCTGCTCATTTCTGCTGCCTGCAAGGGACTGTAGGTACACAGGGCTGCTTTTGAGATACTCACAGTGGTGGTGGGCAGAACCAAACAGAACTGCTGTCCTGTTTGTAGGAAAGAAGGGGTCTGCAAGCTAAATAAGTGTGTCCAGTTTATAATAATGATGTTAGTGATATCAGTGGATGGGGGTAAGGCTTGGGCACTGCAGAGCAGGTTGTGCTCAGGCAGGCTCAGCTCCTTCTCAGAGGGTGAGTCTGGGTCACCCCAAATCCAGGCAGGCCTCCCAGACCAAATCAGGGGCTGTGATTTCCCCAGAGTACACCTCTGTGCAAGGCTTCTCCAGCCTTGCTGATCTGCTGTATTTACACCTTCTCTGCAGCCATTTCATTTCTTGAGGCAGTTCCTAAAAGTCCCCTGTGCAAACAGGGGTCAGTCTGCACTCTGGCCATGCTGCTTTAGGAATGTGTGACCCCAGGAAGGGTTTGGGATGTTGCTTTGCTGGCTCTCCCTCATTCCCTTTCCCCCAGATCTATGGCTCTGCAATAACCTGGGATCTCTCTCCAGCTCTGCTGTCTACAAGAGACTGTCCATGTCACTGCTGTGCCAGGGCTAGATGCTGTGAATGGGAGAGAAAATACCTATAAAACCTTTGTGAGTGAAACCTTGGCACCACGGACTGTGGTGTCTCTCTATTTCTGTGATCTCACACTGCTGTGCTTTATGGAACTGGCCAGGAGAGGGCTGGAGAGTGCAGGCAAATCCTCGAGGTAAATTATAACAAAATTCACACATGGTTCTGACTCTAACTCTCCTCTAACTCTGGAAGGGTCTGATGCAGCACCTGCTGCTGCTCTGACAGGAGTCAGTGCTCAGCCTGCAGCTCTCATCCCTGCTGTAAGGAGACCCCAGGCTCTCTGGCAGGAGCCCCTTGCAGCTGCTCAGCCCAAGCATCCCCAGGCAGCCCATCAGAGAGCACTGAAGGAAAACATCACACCCTGAGAGGTGGCAAGAGAAACAGGGGAAGCTGACACCCTGGCACACGCTGCTGGGCTCCAGCTGAGCCCCCTGCCCCTCATTTGGGGTCAGCCCTGCTAACGAGGTCGGCCTCGGTGCTGGCAGCTTCTGGGAACGAGTGTTTGTCAGACTTTCCATTCTTTGGCCTCCTGTTAGCACTTCCCATTACCCTCACAGTCAGGCACTGGTGCTGGGGAAGGGAAGGGCATGTTCTCTCCCCCAGCAGCTGTCTGATAGCTGCTGGCTATGGAATTCTGCTTTTATTCTTGTGGATGGTAAGAAAAGGAGCCTGGTTCTGTCCTGGACAGTGCTGTGAATGAGACTCATTGAAAAGTGAAGTCTCTGCCTCTCATTGCTCTTTGGGTGGAAAGGGGAAGGTGATCCCACCCCTGCACAGGGCCATGAAGCCACAAAGTGCAGCTGAGGCCAAGGCTGGAGTTGTTGCTGTCCCCAGCCCAGCTCCTGCTCCCCGCTCAGGACTTCCCTTCTGCGGCTTTGAGGAGCGGGGATGAAAGGCAAGGAGTGCAAACACAAAGCATGCCTGGTTTATTTTATTTATGACTGGCCTCTGCTTAAAAGGAAACCAGCATTATCAGTCCCAGCACTGCCAGGTCAGATGAGTAAATGAAAGAGAAGGGTTTCGTTTATGACTGGGAGCTCGAGTTTGCTCTTATAAGGGCATCCCGCCAGGCACGGCTGCTGCCACTGCTGCTGCTCCTGGCAGGGGTGGCCAGGCCCAGCCAGAAACTCAACCAGGTTCTTCCAGAGGTCAAAACCCTGAGGCTGAGAGTGGCTGAGATCAGGTTGTACCTACCCCTCCTTCTTTGGCTTGGGGCAGCCACATGTGCTACAACACAACATCCCTGCAGGCAGCAGATCCCAGTGGGTCTGTACCCATACCCGCTGTATGTTATCCTGCCAGGCTTGGTGAACCTGACTGTGCTTTCCTGCTCAATTCCCCAGGGAGAAAGTGGTAAAACCATGTCAGAATAGGGCTCTTTGCCCTCACCAGTGACTCCAGCTGGAAAGGAGTGCTGGGTTTGGGTCGTGGCAGGTGCTGATCCCATTGCTCCAGCTCTGTGAGGTGCAGGCAGAAGGCGAACACACCCCCTGGCACAGGCTGCTGTTTGATGCCTGGGGTTTTCAGAGCCAATATTTGATGATCCGTAAATAATTGCCCTGTTGTATATTCAGGAACCTGATTTATCCTGCTCCTTGATGATACCTCCCAAACTCCTCAGGAGACATCTGTCTCCCTGTTCCTGGTGATTGATGGAGGAGGAGGAGAGCTGGCACTGGGCCCCATCGTGCTCCTCAGTCAGTGTGTGGGTGTGCTGCCTGTCCCTCCACGGTGGCTCAGAGCTACAGCAATGACAGATCCTCAGGGGGAGGGAGGTTATGTATGAACTCTCCCTGCTCACTTTTACGTTGAGTCCCTGTTTCCTGAGGAGCAGCATCAGCACTGTCAAACCCCCCTTCATTCCCCATTGCTAACTCTTGCCAGCTCAGAAGTGCTTCCCAGCGGCTTCCCAGGTGAGGTTTGTCTCTGGGAGCCATTCTTCCTCAGAGTTTGAGCAGCTCTTATTCCATGCTGAATGATTTACTGCCCCAAAGCAGAGGGGGAGGACGATGCACACCACTGGAGGGGCTGCAGCTTGGCCGTGTGCTCTGCTCCTGCTCTCAGCTGCGAGCACAAACAGCAGCACAGCCATCTCCTGCTGCAAGCCCCGTGCCAGGCCCCTGGCCAGGGAGCCCACGTGGCAGCAGGCCTGAGCACGGCCCAGGCAGGGCACTCTGCACACCCCAAAGCCTCGCTCATGCCCGCGAGCAGCGCGTGGGCTGGAGCCCAGCCTGAGCCCGCAGGTGGGTCTGGAGAGCGTGCAGAGAGAGGAGAGCCTGGAGCACTGGAAAGAGGGAGGGAGGGAGGCAACCTGTGAGGTTTTAGGGATGCTCTGGCGTTCAGGGAGCAGCCACAGGTGTCTCCCGTGTGCTGGAGCCCTTCTGGCTATTGGCAGGTTTCGTGAGGATTGTTCAGGCCTGGGGAGCTTTGGAATTTGTGTAGCCCTGCTTTTTCACCATTTTCTATTGAGATTTATTAACATAAGGAGTCATAGATTCTGATATCATAAAAACTTTTCCATGCCCTTTTTTCAGGTCCTCATCACACCTGAAAACATTTGTCCCACAGGCTGCATCCTAGAGAAGGTCCAGTTTGGGGTCAGACGGTGACTGGCACTAAAGGGGGCAGAGAAACTCTAAAAAGAAGAAAACAATGAAACCATCAGCATCACAAACATTCAGCCTCCTGCAGCCAGTTGCCCAGCCCTGAGTGACCTTTCCCAGTCACAGAGAAGTGCAAATAATACTTACCCAGGAGGAAGCTGTGCCAAGGCCAGAGCCAGCTCAGCCCCTTCCCAGCAGGAGCTGTGTCCAAGGGCCACCATCCATCAGGGTGGCACAGATGGTGCTGCCTCCAACCACGATGAGCAGTTTTCCCTCCAGGCAGATCAGTGGTGGTCAGTGCTGGGACACAATAGATGGCATCATGCTGGGTTTCTGGAGCTGTGATAGAAGTGTGAACCCCACCCCAAGGAGACACCAGGGAGCTTAGAGGGGGTTTGGAGGCATTTGTTGGGGAGGAACTCTGGGTTTGGTCATGAAAAGGGTTAGGGAGTGAGAGGCTTGCAGCTCTGGGAGCCTGAGCATGTCCTCCCTCCTCCTCTGAGTATTTGACCACTCCTTGCCCCACCACTGCTTCCTTCTCTTGGTCCTGTGGCAGTGAGGCACCAGCTCATCACTGCCCTGCAAGAGAGGGACAGTGACAGCAGCAGAAGGGATGTAGGGTCCACTCCCCATCCCAGGCTCTGGGAAAAGGTGGAATGACACAGGGAGGACATTTTCAGCCTGGCAGGGTGTGGCACACATCCAAAGGTACCAGCAGGACCCCACACATACCTGCCTCAGGCCACCCAGCCAGCAAACCCTTGGGCTGGGAGCACTGGTCCCCTCCAAAGGGCTCTGACCTTTGCTGCTGCTGGCTTTGCAGAAGTGCTGGCTGTTGCAGCAACCTCCAAGAGGCAGCTGGGGGAGGAGGATGCAGCTTTTTGCTATTTTGGAGAGCAGGGAGGAAGAGGAAGAGCTGCTAACAAAGAGCGAAACTAGAAAAATGACGACGGTGACAAAAAAACCCTCTCCCGTTTGGGGAACCAAATGCATTTGTTTCCTGATGTGACAGGGATAGCTCAAAGTGAGAGACACAGCAGAAGCTGAGTGGCAGCTCCCAGGTCCCAGGGTGAGGGTGGGACTGGAAAGGACACCACGAGCCCCCCAAGCCCCTGCCCTGCCCAGGGGCCAGGAGCTGCCTTTGCCTCTCTCCTTTGCCTGTTTCCCTCCATCCTCTCCCCAGCCACTGCCCAGGAGCAGCTGCCTTGCTGTCACACCAGGCAGGAGCCAAGGAGGTGGTAACCAATGGCACCACATTTTTTGGAGATTTTGGGGCTCACAGAAGTGCTGAGGAATGAAGAGGGGGTGTCGCAGACATCTTTTCATGAAAAATCCTTTCTTAGGATTTTTCCTCCTGAGAAGCTGAGAGGCCTCAGGAAAAAAATGTAAACAATGGTTATCTACTGCTGTGGAATGCAACAGGTGCATCTGGGATTGGCCCATGTTGGATGTTTATAATTAATGGCCAATCTCAGCCCAGTTAGCTTGGACTCTCTGAGACACAAACCTTTGTTATCATTCCTTTCTATTCTTAGCTTAGCTAGCCTTCTGATGAAACCTTTTCTTCTATTCTTTGAGTATAGTTGTAATGTAATATATATATCATAAGATAATAAATCAAGCCTTCTGAACATGGAGTCAACATTCTCGTCTCTTCCCTCATCTGAAAACCCCTGTGACCACTGTCACAAGGGGAAACCATGGCCTTCCCTACAGCCATGTCTGCTGCTGCCCATCCTGCTGCTGGCTCCTCTGGGGCTGCAGGAGCCACAAACCCACCTTCCCCTTGAGAGCTCTGCTTCTCTCTGCCCCTTCCTGCTGCAAGACTCATTCACAGACAGTGAAATTGTTCTACAAACAAACAGGCCCTTCCCCCTAGGGAGCCTGTGGTCAAGACCAGGAGATGCCATGTTGCTTGGTTTCTTCTCTATTTTCATTTTGGCTTTCAGACTTGCAGATGGGCTCCAGCCACAAAGTCTGGAGGCAGGTCCAGCTTGCAGCCAGCTCCTGGCTTGGGTGGAGGCTAAATCCAGGCTGTTGATTCAGTCCCTCTCTATTTCTGGTGCTGGCTTTATATGTAATTTGAGTCTATATAGTTATGGATGGGAGTAAGTAGAGCGTGAGAATTTCAGCAAGGGAGGTGAAGGGATGCTTTGTGAATGAAACATTTGTTAGTGCAAGGATTCAGCAAGAGGAGGGGACACAAACTGGCAGGAAGAGCACAGTGTGGGGGATGGAGGGGTCCAGCAAGGGGTTTAATCCACAGAAGGCTCCACCCAGACCCACCCACACTTTGGCTGCAGTTTTCCTGCTCACAGAGCAGCTCTGGGAATTGGGGTTGAATCCCATCTGCATCTCAGTAGCAGCTCAGGAGAAGCCAAGGCACGCTGAGGAGCTGAGGACAGAGCTGCAGCTCCAGAATGTGCTGTACCCATCTTCCCTGCTCCTGCCATGGCTGGTGGTGTCTCCAACCCCTCAGGCTCAGAGAGAAATGCCATTTCCTGCAGCCAGGGGCAAAACTCCCACTGATGGAATAGGACAAGGACTGCAGGTGTTTGGCCTTCATCTCCGAGAGAGATCTGTGGTAGCTCTGACCTGCCTCAGCACTTCATCAATCCTGGTTTGTGCTTGATGTGGATTGTAGCCTGGGGAGATGTTATCCAGCCATGACTCTGCTCCTCACATCCTCTGCTGCTACTCCTCCTCCTCCTTCAGATCTCTCTGATGGGAGAAATTATCTTGTTTTCTGGAGCTTTTACCCAACTGCAAGGGGTTTTCCAAAACATCTGGAACAGCTCATGGAGCTGGAGTGGAGCATAATGCTGAGGGTGGAAACAGGGTCATGGAAACAGAGGCACCCTGTTAGATTAATGCTTGGGAGCCACGCTGGGACGGGCTGAGTTCAAATCCTCACCCCACTCACAAAGGAAAACAGCTGGGAAGGACACTGAGACCCCCCCCACACCACCACGTGCCTCTGGATCAGCACAGGGATGGGGCTCTGCAGGGCAGCCTGGCTATCCTGGTGTCCCACACCCTGGTGTCCCAAACCCTGGGTGTCCTGGTGTCCCAAACCCTGAAGTCCCAAACCCTGGTGTCCCAAACCCTGGAGTCCCAAACCCTGCTCCTAAATTCAGGCTGTGGGAGGAGCTCCAAGAAGAAGCCAGCATTTTGTAAAGGGCAACGAGGCCCCTTGGGTTATTTGGAGGCTGCCAGCTTGGCATCCCTCACTGCTGGAATACTGAGATGGCTTTGAATACAAAGCAACATGTAGTTAATTAAAAGAGGGGTGTAACTGGTGCCAAGCCCAGAAAATGATGAAAATAGACCTCTGCTAACATCTCCATTTCTCCATTGGACTGATAAAGAGGATCTTGTCAATGCCACAGCCTTGGTTGTGTGGTTTGACTTGGCATCAGCCCGTGGTACAAATAGGGCTGGAGTGGAGTCTGCTGCTCAGATAAATAAATAAATTCTAACAATGCAAATCAGAGCTCACCTGATGAGAGGACAAACGGGGCTGGGAGGTGCAGCTGTCCTGGGGAAATGTGTGGGGTTCACAGAGGGTTTGCAAAGTGATTGGTGCTTGAGCCTCCCCGGTTTTACCTGTTAAGGGAAAAAATAAAACCCTTCTGGTAGCATTTTTAGACAGCTGCTAAAAAGAAACCTGATCACTCAACTTGGTACAAGCCAGAATTGCCTTTTTTAGTACAACCACAAGGAGATTCTAGGAAAAGGGAAGGTGCGATTTATAGGATGGGACAACCTCTTTCTTGGAAACAAAAATATGTAAAAGCCATGGCAGAACCATTACTTTGAGACTTATTTCAGTGGACCCCTATGAAAAAGTTTCTGTAATGCCTCAGGGGTAATCCAGGCTCCTCAAATTTGTGATTTCACTGCAGTAGCTCTGCCTGTGTCCCATCAGCTGTGGTGGGCTGAGGATGGAGGGTGCATTTCCTGTGGCTGTGACAATGGGGTGAGAGCAGGGAGGGCCATGTCCCAGCTCTGGTGTCCCCTTGCCAAGAGGAGGGTGGCACACTGGGAGTGTCCAGGAAAAGTGCCTCAGAAGTGATTCAGGGCCTGGAAATGTTGCTTATGCAGACAGGGTGGAGAAGCTCAGTTTAATTTGTATCATTTTTTGTTATTTATTTTAGCACAAAATATTGAAAAGTTTTGGCTGATGGATGATGATATCCCTAAATATCAGGATTGAGAGGGGAGAGGGTTTCCTGGGCTAACAGGAAAAATAGGATAAAATCAACTGAATGAATACAAAAGGGTATAACTTTGGGCTGGAATGAACACTAAGGTCATCTGAAAAATTCAAATGGAGAGTGGAACACCCATCCCCCTGCACTGACTGCAATGAAATCTTTGACTTTTGTAGAGAATATTTGGGAGTTCAGGGTGAGGGATTCTTGCATGCTGTGGCTGTGCCTCCACCTGCCAGCCCACAACAGGCTCTGGGTTTTAAACCCAGATTTAAACACTGATGGCCTCAGGCTCTCCAATCCAGGCAAGAAAACAAGCTGTGAAAAAAGTAAACATGTCACTGAGGTATTTTCCTTTCAGATGGGTTGATCTTTCCGAGCTCAGAGAAAGGACACAAGGAAGCTGCTGTCAGACATGAGGATACCAGCCTTGACTTCACAAATGTGTGAATAATGTTTGCTGAACTTTATGTGTTATTCCAGAAGAAACAAAACAAAAAAAAAAATTTAAAAAAAAACAAGGGAAGGAAAAAGTTTTCACTGGACTGTGGCAGATGTGATTCCCTCCGGTAACCTCACTGCTCAGCCCAGGCTCAGCAGCTGCTGTCAGCACTGGCTGCATTTGCCCTGGCATGCCTGGATGGAATCCTGGTGGGATCCAAAGCTCCTTTTAAAAGGGCTGGTGACCCATGGGGCACCTACCCCACCTCCATCCCACCCCACAGCACCCCATGGGCTGCTGCCACAGGGATGGGCTCAGGGCACAGACAGGGCATTGTTTGTGCAGGACCTCCCTCGAGTGCCTTTGCTGCTGAACTCCCTCTGTGGTTTCCTGTATTTGAACCCCTTATCTGGTATCCTGCCACCAGAACATGTGCTCGGAAGGGTGAGTTTTATGGGTTGATAAGGTTTTATTGCAGCCAGACTTATTGGTGGATGTCTGAAATAAAGAGATGGGGATCCTGAGGAGATGGGGTCCAGGCAGGTCCAATTTCCACTAAACTCAGTAGTCTGGACACAGGTTTTAAGTAAAACCCAGGCAGTTTTGAGTCCAGCTCAGGCATACCTGGGAAGGTCCTTGTCAGAGAGCTCCAGGGCAGTTGCAGTTCGTACCTAGAAATTAGGTTTCATTGAAATATTCATTTCCATCCCCTGGCAAAGGGGAGCAGCCACAGGGATGTGGTGTGTGCTGTACCCTACCCACACACCTGAGGACCCCCTCAGAACCCCAGAACAGTGAGGGCTCCTCACTGCACCCCACCAGGCCATCCCACCAGGTATAGGTGCAATATCTATATCTATAACTATATCTATATCTATATCTATATCTATATCTATATCTATATCTATATCTATATCTATATCTATATCTATATCTATATCTAATCTATATCTATATATCTATATCTATATCTATATATCTATGTCTATGTATTGCACCCTCTTCTGCCTCCGTTTCCCTCTCCACTCCTCACACCTCCATCAAAGCCTTCCCTCCAACATGGGCCAAGTTCTTCTCTTAGCAGCAGCTTGCATTTAACTTTTTCTCTTCCTTAGCATCAGATTAGAAATAAATTAAGCTGGCCAGTAATGACTTTGCCAGGTGCTGGCTGCTGCTGCACTCCAGCTCTGAGTGTCCTTTGTGTGCGTGTGTGTACAATGATTAAAGAGCCTTTATTAGTCCCATGACTGAGCTGTAATAGGAAAACCCTGTGTCCTTCCTGCCAGTGAACAGCTCTGCAGGAGTGCTCTGCCCCTGCTCCTGTGCTCAGCAATGCTGTGGCCACAGGGTTAGAGGGCTTTCTGATCTATTTTACCCAAAGGGACACACAGGGAATGTGATGTCGGACATGGAGATGGTTGTGTGTGGTCTCCTCAAGCTGTTTGTGGTCCCATGTGTCAGCTCCCATCAGTGTTGCTCCCTGGGTGCTGCAGGGGACCCATTCAGTTCCCTTCCATGAGCTGGTGCTTCAGCCTGCCCCTGCTCATGTCCATCCAAGGACACAGGGTGATGTGGAGGCTGCAGTTCTTGGGAAGGGATTTGTTTGCAATGATTTGAACCAATCTTCCCCTAAATCCATGCTGTGACCTGACCTCCAGCACAGAAACCCCCACAGCACTGCCAGGGATCCTGGTCCTCCTGATTTATCCATCAGCCTAACAGAAGAATTACCTTCTAATAAACTTCAGCTTGCTCTTACCCAACCAAACACACCAGAACCTTTCCAGAATGTCTTTTACTTCTGAGATGGCAGATGCCAGGACATTCTCTTAGCTTCAGGCTGAATTTCAGGGCATAAACAAACATCTTCAGGACAGATATTGTCAGCCACTGGCTGTGGCTGTGCTGTTGGCATCCCTTGGTCCCAGGGATGTGTGGCTGTCCTGGACCCACCACCATGAAAATGAATTAGGGACCTCTGGGAGCTGGGATGTGCAGTGGGAGCATCAGGTCACACAAACAAAGCAGCCCAAAGTGACTGCTGCTGTCTCTGCAAGAAGGCACCAATTATTTTGAGTGTTCTGGGCCAACAGATACAAACTGTGGCCAGACACAGAGCCTGCCCTCTGGATGTAAATCTGTCAGGAGGCCAAGTGATGGGGAAAGGGCTGATTTTTACATTTTGGTTGAGACCTCTTCCCAGCACAGGGCTTTAAGCTGGTGGCTCACCCCAGCCCCACCACATCTCTGCAAAGCAAATGCTCTGCACTTCTGCCAGGCTGCAACCAGCCAGGGGATGCTGCAGAGGGAATTTCAGGGGGTAGCTGGAGTATGGCAGCAAAGAGAGAAAACAGAACAAGATATTTTCTTTCCTCCCCCATAGCTCCACTCCTGTGGCATCCCTTCAGAACTCCATTAATGGCAGAAGGCAAACACAGGGAGTGGGCTGCTTTTTTTCCCTGGATCTGCCCCCTCTGAAGCTTCATGAATGTTGGAGGAGGCAGAAGGCAAACACCGGGAGTGGGCTGCCCTTTCCCCTGGACCTGCCCCCTCTGAATCACGCTGGGCTTGCAGCATTTCCTGCAAATGCCCCCCTGGGCCCATCCCGCCCTCCTGCAGGGCTGCCATCTCTGCCTGCATACAAAGGAGGTTGCATCATAACTGCTTTTTAAACTCCCAGCCTTTTGAAGTCAACGCCAAAGTTTGTTTTTACACCTGATCCGAGCCAAGTCCCTTGTTCTGGTGTTTACGAGAGTCTCTTTGGTTAGCAGGAGCTCACTCACCTTTGTAACAGTCAGGTTATCTCAGCAATGTTTGTCCAGACTGGAAAGAACCTGGGCTCTTGAAGAACTGAAAATCAAAGTAATTCTGGGCTCTAGAAGGACCGAAAATCAACGTCATGAGAGACACCAAACAACAGCTCTGCTGGAAGACTTCCATCTCTCTCTCCAGCCGTGTCTGAGATTGTCAGAACTCCCTGGAGGGGAAGAAACATATTTTGAGGATAGACATCCTTTAGAGAAAACAAGGAGAACCTCAAAAACAGGGCCTTGAAGTTCACGGGGTAGGGATGGAGTCAGCTGCACCATCACTCACCCCACATCCATGGCACAGGAAAAGATGCTCAGACTGGGCAGGGACCCCCAACATTCCCAGGAGCAGTGGGTTGGAGCAGGGAGTGACTGTTCCTCCACTTCTGGGCTCATTTTGGAGCTGTGTAACCCCTGTGACAGCTGTGGCCATGGCACTCCCAGGATCCCTGGCATTCTGTGTCCTCTGCTGAACATTTACAGCGCAGCAGCTCACAAACACCACCCTGGCCGTTCACATCATCCCGTTTTCCCCAAAACCACCCAGCCAGGCTTGGAACACACAAATCCCGAGCGCAGGGCTGGGGCTGAGCCGGCAGCAGAGGGAAGCACCACCCGCAGCAGGAGAGCCGGGCTGCGGAACCTCAACCCAAATTCCTCACCGCGGGCACGGAGCAAAGCAGGCGCTCGGGGCGAGATGAAAGCCGAGTGCTTAATGCAGCAGCATCTTCCCCGAGCCGACTTTCCAGTCGCGGCTTGCACGGGCTTCCTTGCGGACATCTGGCAGATGCGCCGGCAGAGGAATGCGATGGGCTGTGCAGATGGGAGGTGCCGCGCTCAGGTTGCAGCCGTGGGGCAGGGAGTCAGTGTTTTGTTTATAAACACAGGCAGGATGACTAAGATAAGAAGGGGATGGTAATTAAATTAAATTAAGGCTCTGGAAGTCGTTAGATGAGCCTGAAAGCATCAGCAGCCGCTCGGATTCCTGGTTCTGCAGAATAGGGGCTCTCTGTGATGGAGCATCAGGGGATGTGCAGGGGGGTCTTTCATCAGCTCAGTGGGAGGAGGTGGACACAGTTCTATCCAAACAGGGGACACAGAGGGGAGTCAGGTAAAAATGAAACACCAGAGCATCAGGGGAGGAAGAGAAAGTCCACAAAAGTTCTTCCCGTTCCCCTGGGAAAAACATTCCCAAAGCAGGGATGTGTCACCGTGGTCACAGGGGTTTTCAGGTGAAAGGAGAGATGAGAATGTTGACTCTATGATCAGAAGGCTTGATTTATTATTTTATGATATATATATTACATTATAACTATACTAAAAAGAAAAAGAAAGGAAAAAGTTTCCTCAGAAGTGAGCTATGCTAAGAAAAGAAAAAAAAAAATGATAACAAAGCTAGCTCTCTCGGACTCTGTCTGAGATAGCTCAGTCCTTGATTAACTATTAATTATAAACATTCAAGATAGCCCAATCAAAAATCTACCTGTTGCATTCCACAGCAGCAGACAACCATTGTTCACATTCTTTTTTCTGAAGCCTCAGCTTCCCAGAAGAGAAAATCCTAAAGAAAGGATTTTTAGTGAAAAAGATGTCTGTGACATGGATGGGGAACTGACGCACTGTGGGATGAAGGGATGAGGGATTTTGGGATTTTGGTGCAAAGAGGAGAGTTTTGCAGAAGTCTGTTGGGTTGTAAATGCCCCTTCACATCCAGAGCATCTCTGCAGGTGGTTTGAGCCTCTTGGTGAGAAATGGGAAGTAATCAGGGGTGAGCAGATCAGCCCTGACCCAAACTGTCTGGAAGGCATTTCTGGGCTGAGGCAGTGGCAAAGCCTGTCAGCCACTGACTGGTAAGTTTGGAGAAAAATTGCTTAGGAATTGTGACAGCAGAGATGCAGGTTTTGGATGGGTTTCTGTATCCAGTATGGAGGCTGCTGCTCCACCTGTGTCAGCTCAGAGAAAATGATGCTCAGAGCCAAACAAACCCACCCAGCACTGGGGAATTGTGGCTTCTCTTCCCAGGGCTGCTGGTTTGCTGGGAGATCCTGTGCCTGTTTATTTTTCTTTGCTGCTTGCAGTGGCCCTGATACACCTCCAAGGCTTAAATGCTTTCCCTGCTGCCCACATGGGGTAAATTGGTCCTGGGAGCTTTCCTACCTCCCTGGGAAGAGGGAATGGGCTGGGAAGGTCTGGATGCTGCAAGGCAGGCAGGCTGGGGGGCTGGGGCAGCTCGGAGAAGGATGTTTCATGGCCATCTGTGATCCAGAGACCGATGTCTGCTGCTGTCCCAGCTTGGGAGCCTGGCCCCAGAGAACATGATGCAGACATGTGCTTTTTAGCTCAGGAGGCCTTTCAGCCTGCTCTCCTGGTGCCAGCCCTTTGCAAAGGAGAAGCATGGAGGAAATACCAGCAGTCCTTGCAGCATTAATCACGTCCAGGATGATGAATGCAAATAAAAACCCTGGATCCTTGGAGAGGGGGAGAGACCCTTTTCCCACCAAGCGTCTGCAGAGTGCTGGTTGATCAAAGCTGGGCTGAGGGAAAGCTTCTGTCTCATGCAGGTGCCAAGGGGAGAGCAGGTAACTTATTGGTGGCTGCATGTTTCTAATTGGTGAAGGAAGGACCCACAGCAGCCCTCAGAGCACCCTGCTGCCACCCTCCTGACACATTCTTTAATCTCAGCCCAGGGAAACCATCAGCTCAATCCCTGTCAGGAGCTGCAGAAAGGTGACAGCTTGCTGTGATGCTGATGGAGAGGGAGGCAGGACCCCAGTGAAGAGGCTGGAGCAGCCAGAAGGGTGGGACACAGCTTTTGGGGATGAGGCTGCTCCTGCATCCCCACCAGTGTGGGCAGGTACATCCCATGGGGAAGCCAATGCATTCCCACATGGATTCACTGGTTTGTGGTGACAAATCCTCTCCTCTTTGCCCAGCAGCCCCCACGAGGCCTTTTTCCTTCCCTCAGGGCTGTGGGGAGTGTGCTGGTGGCTGGGGGGGACAGGAGAGCATGGGCTCAGGCTGGCATTGCTGCTCTGCTCCATGAACAGTCCCCATCTGTCCAGGCTGCTCATGGCTCAGGTGTGCCAGGGTCAGGGCTGAACCCAGCTCCTGGCGCAGCTGAGGGTGCAGTGGGAGCTCAGCAATCCCTGAGAAGCAGGGACTGGTCCCTACCACCCCTTCCTGGTCAGTGGGACACCCCAAAGGAGATTTCATTCAGGTTCTGTCCTGTGGTTCCTGGGGCAGGCTGAGCTCCCCATGCAGCTCCCCAGGGGAGAAGCTCATTTTCCAACCCCTGTCTGGGGCTTTGGGGACAGCATGTGCCAGCTTTGGTCCTGCTGATCTCCCCAATTAGTGTCCCATCTCCTTTTCTGCTCTTCAAAGCACTGAGCATCATTAATCTGTTTGGGGGATTAATGCCCCATGAGCTGGGGAGGCTGGTCCCTGGCCCTCTCACACACACAGCCCTGCACTCTAATAGTTTTTGCTGCCCCTGTCACAGCTGTTAAGGCTACAAAAGCCCCGAGTAATGTGATCTCCCAGGGCCCTTGTCCACAGAGGCCCAGGCTCTCTGGACCCTTTTGAAGGCAGGAATGTGGCTGAGCATGACCAAGTTTGTCCCAGCCATGGCCTTGTGCTCTCCTTCCCGACCATCCAAGCAGGAGTTAACTGTGCATGAAGAATTGGATCAGCCTGTGGGACAGCCAGCCCAGTGCCCCCCTTCCACCCTCCCAACTCCCATCACCACAGAGTGTCTCAAATTCAGGGCTGAGTGGCCCAAGAGCCAGGAGAGTGTGCTGCAGGCACTGATGGGCGCAGAAGGGTTTAAACCAAATTTAGGACAATAAACTTGGCATAGATTGCAGACCTTTTCCCATGATTGTTTTCTCAGGAGTCAATGAGTTGGACACTCTGCAGGAGAGATATAACACAGCCACTGGCATGTGCCATGGAAAATGGACCAGCTTGCTTGGGGATACAAAATGCACCAGTCCCTGTGTATCACTTAGCAGGAGCCAGGGACTTCTCCAGAAGGAAATGGAAAGAAAAGAAAAATAAAAGAAAGAAATGGAAAAGAAATGGAAAATAAATGGAAAATGGCCACACAAGGCACAGGAGGGTGCTGGTTGCTCTGGAGGCTGTGGGACCCTTTCTCCAGGTCTGAATGTCCTTTTCCCTTTTTCCATGGCAAGGATCAGAGAGGAGTGCTGGCTCTCAGTGCCCTCCCTGGTGCCCAGAGCTGTGCAGGCTCTCAGTGCCCTCCCTGGTGCCCACGGCTGGGGTGCTGTGCCCCACGAGGAGGGAGCCCAGCTGTTGTTGGAAGCACAGTGTGCTCCAGCCTGGATTTCAAAGCAGCTGCCGGCTCTTGCCTCGGATCTGAGGTGGCTCAGTGGGATTGGGCAGCTTTGTAATTTGAAACAATGGGGTTAGGGGGAGACTGTGCCGCCAGCGGCCCCAGCCATACAAGGAAAGAGGATCCCAGTGTGTGTGCACAGCCCTGCATTCCCCATCCTCCCCCTGCCCAGCCTGGGACAGGCAGCCCCAGCATCACCCAGTGCCCCCAGAGTAGAGGCCAGAGGACACTGAGATGGGCATCAGGCACAGCTGGGTCCTGTCCCTCCTCAGGCTGTTACAGGTGGGGTTTGGGTTTCTCTCCCTCTTGTTTTCTACACAGTGCTGAAACTCTACGCCAGGGCGGGAGATGCTCGGGGGAATTTGCCACGGCAGATGGTGGGGAAAGAGAAAAGGGCAGAGCATGGGGAAAAGAGAAAAGGGCAGAGCACAGCACTCTGCCTGTGGGCACAGGAACACAACACCCCACGAGGGAGTGTGCAGTGAACAGCCAAAGGTGGGCAGCCTGCAATGAGAGCTTTTAATGCCCAGGGCTCTCCTGCCTTCCCCACACTCACACACCTGCAGGCCAGGAACAATCCCGCTCCCAACTCCTTCTTCCTTTCTTTCTTTTTCTTGCTTTTGCTTTCTTCTCCCTCTGAAACAAAGATGCTTCTCCAGATGCACTCGTCCCCATCCAAGAGATCCCTTTGTCTTGTCGCTTTGAATTATATTTTCTTTGTCTGCATTCGCCATCCTCCCAGGCTGAGCCCTGGATGTCTCATTAGAAGGGAGATTCTGGCCAGCGGTGCCAAAACTCCTCGCAACGCTGACGCAGAGGGATCCTTGCTGGAGGGAAGATGCTAAAAGCTAAATCTCAGCCAAGGGAAGACTGCAGGATGAAGTCAGAGTGGAGAGATGATGCCCGAAGGGAATTAGGAAACTTCGGGATGATTTTAGGATTATAAAAGGGATGAAGAAAAATTACAGGAGCAGAGCCAGAAGACTTCTCACCCCAAGCACAGAATTTCTCATCCCAAATAGGCACATTGGCAAATGAGATTCCTGTGGATGCTGTCCCCAGGGAGAGGCACAAGGGCAGCCCTGGGT